CGTGAACTTAAGAGAGACTTGACTCTCAGTTGCTCGCTTTACCAATGGTATTATACCACTTTTAACCCTCCCCCTCCAAGCTGGCATTCCACAGCTCTTCAGTCCCCACTTTGTCTAGGCTCTGGTCTTATAATAGAAATTGCATCTGTTTCTCTTAGGGTGGCACCTCCAGGGCCTACGCAGTATTTGGCAGGCCAAGCCCCTAGCGACTGAAGTACTGCAGGCAAATGGAACAAATTAGCTGAGATGGGAGCTGGCTGATTTCACATTTACCTGAACCACCTTGCTGATGAGATTCTTCTCGACAGCATGTGAGGGATCCCAAACCTGAGCCTGGGTTTCTTAGGCCATGTTTACACTGCCACTTTGCTGTGCTGCAACTTTTTGGCTCAGGGGTATGAAAAGACACCCTCCCTCCCCTAACCACAGCACACAACAGCGTTGTAAAGCACCAGTGTAAATGGGCTCCCAGCGCTGTTAGCTACTCCCTTGTGGAAAGGGTTTACCCTGGGAGAACTCTCGCCCAGTGCTTCAGCCTTGGCCACACTTTCACTAAGAAGTGTAGACATTTTTTTCCAAAAAAAGTCCCGTACGTACACCCTGCAATCATGTGCTTTCAAAAAAAAAAACCCCAACAGAACAGACATTGGTAAACCTCTTTCTATGAGGAAGAAGCCATTGTCCGAAAGAGCGCTTTTGGAAAAAAGCGTGTGGGGACGGGAAAAAGGGAGTTCTTGCGAAAGAAGAGGAAAGAAAAAGCACAAGGTCATTCAGTGTGGACACTATCTTTCAAAAGCAGATTGCTTTTTTCGCTGCGCTTTGGCAGTGTGGACGCTTTCCTTCGGAAGAAGTTTTTTCGGAAGATCTCTTCTGGAAAAGCTTCTTCCAAAAGAAGCCTGCAGTCTAGACGTAGCCTGAGTCTCCCAAGTTCAGGAGAGGTGAGACAGTGAAACCATGGAATGCAGGGTGGCAGGGATTGCTGACATGCTGGGGAGTGGGGAAAGTCATTAATTTAGTTGCAGCAGTTGCTCTCAATGTTTCTAGGCTGAGCTGCAAACCTCGGGCCTCCAGCAGGAAACATTAAGGCTCCACAAGTGTGTGAACCTGATAAAATATTCTGCCCGGTGACTGCAGAGACTTCAGGTCCCTGTCTGCACCATGCAGTTTATCAAGATGAGCAAATGTTTTAAAATGAGACTCAGTAGCTGCCAGTCACGTGGCTGACTTCATAAGTTAAAGCGAACAGGGCAGGGGAAGGGTGCATCTTTCTTTAGTAAAGGAGACAGTCCAGTGGGATTTGAGCCTTGAGGAGGATGCCAGCCTACAGCTGGGAGAAACTGCACGAACTCTGAGCTCCCAGAATATCTAGCAGCTGGGACTAAACTCTCACAAGACAAGCAGCGAGATCTCAGTGCTGTTCAGTCCAAAGCTTTGAACTGGCCTGGCTTCAAGCCCCCTGACACCCTGCAAACATTGTTCTATTAGTCCCCCTGTTTCGCACCATGCACTGTGTCGCACAATCCAGGAGCATGGTCTCATTTTAATCCCTCGATTGTTTAGTGGACTCTTAGGTTCAAAGAGTTTTTAATGACTGAAATATTCCATCAGAATGCCCCTCTCCCTAGTAAGGGGAAAGTGCTGCAGCCATTTATACCCACCCAGCTGAGCTCACACCTCTGAAGTTGCTAGTTCCTCCTGGTCACACAGAGCACGGATCTTTCATGTAAGTTGTCAGGCATGTGACATTCTGACATGGACTATGATGGGCGAGGAGATGTAGCAGGAGTCAATGTAGGGAGGGAGCAAAGATCACCAAAAAAGGGTGCAAGAGTTAGAAGGCAAGTAGAAGGGGGGAGGAGTGTCTTAGTACACCCCTCGAGCTGCCTTTAATTCTCAGTATTCAACTGCACTTGGCAACTCTGAGCATAAGCTTCCCCAACCAGCCTTGAATAAGTGGTGTAACCCCTTAGCTCCACTGAAAAATAGCTCCAGAGCAGCTTCCTCCTAGCATTGTCGTCTTCTCATATTCTCCATCCCTGCACTCTTGTGGGCCCCCCATCAAGCCTGCCAAAAGGGGAGGGCAAAGTGAGGGGCAGTTTCCCTGTGGCCCAGTGATTCAAAGAGGCCCAGCGCTCTCAAGCTACGTCCTCTGCTAAGCGGTGGTGGCCATAGTCCTTCTTTAAGTCGCTGCTGGAATTCCACACTGCTTTGAGAGTGGGGGGTGGGAGACATCATGGGTGAGGCTGAGGGCTTGCTGCCCCTGCTACTGCCCCTTCCACTCATGGCCCTGCCCCTTGTGGAGGCACAGAGACAGCCCACCCATGCTTTGCTGGGGCCCCACAGACACTGTCGGCCTCTTTACCCCCATCTTCCATTTTAAAACTCCTTTAATACTTAGTAATATGCCTCCATTTGCATGCTGGCTTATTAATACACACATCAGATTCCTCCCAGAGGTTTTCAGAATGGCAAAGCATGGGGGGGCTGGGAAACACACACATCTGTCCTGCTACTTTTAAGGTGTCTTGGTTTGGCACACATTGCTCTTAGCGCCTGTTGGCTCTACAAGATATTTTTGTTAATCTACATACACAGCAGGGTAGATTTTGTTGACCAGGCTGCCCAAAGAATAATTTGCCTCAAACAGAGGAAGCCACTGCCCAGTTTCATCATGCCCTTATTCACTTCAGCTGCATTGGTCCTAGGTTTGCTCTGCATTGCAGCCCCATCATCCCAAAAGGACAGGGGGAGAGAAAAGGGCATTCTTAGTGTGTGAGACTTCCAAGCGAACGTTACATTAGACACTGGTAATGTTCTAGGCCCGGGCCTTGTCAAATGTGCGGAATGGTCCTTGTGCAGATCCCGGTAACAGTCAAGAGGCTGAAATCTCTTATTCCTCCATCAGCATTAGCTGATTGCATTTTTAACTGGCTCCTCCAGGGGGCTTTCAGCGTTCTAGCCTGTGACTGGCCAAGAGACATGTTTTGTTCTCTTACTAAAAGGCTAACGTGTCACTTTCCATTATATGGGTCACTGCTCCATTTCCACCTGGAAAGCTCTACAGTGTGGCTGGGTCATTGTTATTCCACTGAGCCACTGCTGGGTTTGTACAAACAGGAAGCTGGCAGCTTCACACCATTGTTCTGATGTGGCTTTTTCTAGAAATAAGCCTGGGGCAAAACTCATCTGGATTCAGAAATCTGTTTCTATAATAATGGGCTGAATATCTGTTGGAAGAGACATCTGGGTCAGTTTTCTCTTGTAGACATTTCTTCCAGTTTTGTGAACCTGATAGGAAGTTATATCTAACAGGAAAATTTCTCTTTTTTATTAGATCAACAAAGTACAACTTTTTCACCGAGCAGTTAATCTTTAGGAACCTTAATCTTCCTTCTAGCTCCCACTTAAGCCAATAGGAAGACAGAAGATTTTTAGCATGCCTAATAATGAGTTAAAGAAGCTTTACTTGAGTAAGGAATAAGGAATGCTGACAAGAGCAGCAGGTAGAGTCATTTGCACATCCCCTCAGACTAGTGTTTTAGAGCCACTAAAAATGTTAAACACAAAAGCTTGAGGGAGAAAAATATTGCCAAATAATCCACTGCCCTTATAGCATTTTTAAGATGATGGTCTGGGGACTAGCATCCTCATAAGAGTGGAATCATGTTGAGCATGTAGTCAATGGTATACTTTGCTGTCACTTCCACCTAAAGTCCTGGGACAGCCAAAGAACCTAATTAGTTAAAAAACACCTTCTAGCCTTACGTTTCCCCACCTCCAGCGCTCCACAGCTATATTGTATGAAATGTATCTGTAGCCTGAAACAGCAGCTGTGAGAGAGGAGTAAAACAATGTCTGTTCGAATAAAGAGTGTGTTTACTCTGAAGCATAATGATGATGTTGTATGTGTCAATATTATTCCTATTTTACTGCTGAAAATGTACAGGAAAAGTTAGCCAGCTACTCTAGGATAATGGGTGGGCACTAGGATTGTGGGTAGAGTTCAACTACTTCTTTGATCCCCTAACCTGACCCTCCCCTCTCACCCACTAATGAGTTTGTCAATTAGTATCTTAGCAGCAGCAGCAGATGGTGACACTAAAACATACATGGGTAGTTTAGTCTCACTTTCAATGACCAACAACAGAAAAAAAATCAAGTTAAGAAAAAAGTTGTTTATCTAGGAGGTGAAATAGACCAAAAATTAAATATGTTTAAATAGATTTATTTTATTTACCTTTAAAGACAGCTTTAAGTGTCAAAAATTGAAAACCAAATTACTAAAGGAAACTCAAAGGAAGATAAAATGGAACCACGAGGGAGGCACAGGGCCGTAGAACCAGCTTATGCCCAGCCTGAAGAGGCCCTCAGAAACGCAGCACTTCCCTGAGACAGAATTTTGGCAGATCAAACTTTTGGATGGAATCAGTTGCACAAATTGTCACCTTTAAACAACTTCCATGAGAAGTGTGTGGGGTTTTTTTGTGATACCATGACCCACCTCACCCCATCCCCCAGGACAACTCTGAGCCTGATCCTGGATGCCGTGTGACTCTCTACTGTTTAGCACCTTGCGTCATCATTACCTCAGCACCCGGTGGGGGCAAAGTGCTACCAGCTTAGAATGGGAGCACTAAAGACCCACTTCACACTGGACTCAGTGACCCATCTAGGGCATGTCTATATTGCAAGCTTCTTTCAGAATAAGCTTTTCCAGAAGACATCTTCGGAAAAGCTCTTTTCGAAATCGAGTGTCCCTACTAGAGGGAAGCCACAAAATGAGTCCGAGACAGGCTCCCTAATGTGGGCTCGTTATCTCGACTTAGAGTCCCAGGAGTCAATGGGGAGGAATAACTTTAGCATGGCCCTGGCAAGGAGCTATTTCGACATAGCAGCAGTGGTGTGTCCACACACACCCTCTTCCGAAAAAACTTTCAGAAGAGGTGTTATTCCTCGTGGAATAAGGCTTACCAACGTCGGAAAAAGCCCTCCCTTAGTTTGATTTTCTTTTGAAATAATGCAATTGCTGTGTGGACGCTAGTATTGTTTTTCCAGAATAACAGCCATTATTCCGGAAAACGGTGCAGTGTAGACATAGACCCTAGTGTGCAGGGCAAGGAAGAGCCAGGTGCCTTAAAGTAGATATTTAAGAACAGGTTGGATAGACATCAGGGATGATCTAAATGGTGCTTGGCCCTGCCGTGAGGGCAGGGGACTGGACTCGATGACCTCTTGAGGTCTCTTCCAGTTCTAGTGTTCTATGACTCTATGGGATTCCATTGGAAGTTGCTAGAAATTGTAGAACGGCCCAGGAGACTTGAAGATGGCTCAGAATCTCTCAGGATGAAGTCCACAACAGCTGCAGGGATAGGCCTGATGTATCCAATTCAGGTCAGTTTAATTTTGCCTTTAATACCATATTTGGCTGGAGCATACAACATAGTATTGAGTGGGTTTTTTTAATCAATAATTTATTGCTCCTTTCTGTAAAAATGCACTTATCTTATTTTGTCATTTTCTCTCTTTATTTGGCTGTTGCACCGTAGGCATAAAAATGTTACATTTACCCATTTGTTCAATTATGTAAAATATTTTAATCCATTTCTGACATTCTCCTAAGCTTTGCCAGCCAACAGCCTGAAAACTGTCTAACTTTTACTTAAATACTGTCAATTTCTCCATAAGTTGCAGCATTATAACAAAAGATCTATCAAAGTAGCCAATATGCTCATTATTCGAGGTGGGGGATTTTTGTTTTTGATTTTTTTGCATTTTAAAAATATACCTAAGTCTGAGATAATCTTAAGAGTAACAATTACAATTATAAGAAAATATTACAGTGCGTTGACTAAAGGAATATTCTGCTTTCCTTAAAGCCAGTATTCCCTTTTGCATGTTGAAGTGATTCAGCAATTACTTAGGAACTTTTACCTACATACAATAATTTAGTAAAATGAGAATTAAACAAGGCAGATACTCACTACTATTCTTCTGTCTGCAATTCACAGCTCATGCGAATAAAATCGCAATAAATATTTAAAAAATAGTTTCTCTTTCTTTTTTCTGTAAGGCATCTCTGAGTATTACAAAGTTTTTGTACAACCAAAAAATAAGATTGCTTTTTATCCATGTTCTCCGAGTACCTTGTATATCTCGACAGTAAATGAGAGGATTGCAGATTTGAGTGGGGAGAGTGGAGGAAACAGCTGATGGCAGGGTGGGAAGGGGTGGAAGGGGAGGGAGAAGATGACAGGCAATGGAAGCAGACCACTAAGTGTGCAAGAAATTGTAGTTTTCCTTTTAACATTTCAGTCACTTTAAGTCCATCTTCAAGACAATATTTGCTCTGATTGAAAGAAACTTACCGGAAGTCCTTTTCCATGAGCGTAGTCAGACAGTAAAGGTTTAGGCTCATCCTTAACACTATAAATAGCTTAGGTATTTGTATGCACCTAATAAGGTTGGGTGGTTTTGCTTTTGCTTGGTTTTTGTGTTTGTATCCTTCCACTGTAAAAGATTGTCCTACATGGCGAACGCATGGGCAGGGCCCTTACTGCATACGGTCGGGCTGCAGCTGTTGGGGCTGATACTGAACAAAAGCCGTGGTGTGTGCTGCCGGATTGCTAGCTGTGATGGGCTGCTGAAGGGTGTTTGTGTAGCCGTATCCCACAAAGCCAGCAGCAGGAGAAGCGGCGTAGGGGTACTGGTCGTAGGCAGCTGTGGTATACTGGGTGTAGGCTTGGCTCGCGGAGGTGTAGTCTATGTAGGGAGACGTGATGGACTGCACGGGGGTTGGGATGACCACGCTCGGCTGAACAATCGCTTGAGGGTAAATATAGTGAGGGGTGAGCCTGTGGAAGCAAACACACAGTCAGTCAGGTTTCCCCTCCATAAGCACAGTGATAACAGAGACAGTGCTGCCTGCCAACACCAGCCAGGGTGAAGGGAGCCAGCCTAATAAAAAAGGTGGGCAAACTGAAAGAAGGGCAAAGCCTGAAGACTTAAAGTAGCATAAGGTGAAGCTCCTAATGCTTATCACTGCTCCTGTATTCTTGCCCTTCCACCAGTGACCACCACTGAACTGCAGTTTCAGGGGAAGAAACCTGATGGGATGTCTCTAAGGAGAAACACTCCCTCCCACCCCCGCTTCACTGATATGGTTCTTGTCAGATTCTCCGTCTAGTCTTGGGGACTCTCTTCTGTCTTCCATCTGCCCCATTCACTCGCACTGTCTTGCTTCCCTGACCTTCCCCTTCACGGTCTTGCTGCCTCCTTCAGCAGTTCCTCCTCCCGGTGTCCTCAGGGTTCTATTCTTGGTCACAGCCTCCTCTCCCTGCCCTGGGTGATTTCATCTGCTCTCATGGCCTCTACTCTCTCCATGCTGGTGACTCACAAACCTCTCTCTCCAGCCAGCCAGAACATCTGACTCCCTCCGGATGACATGTTGACTGGTTGCCAGCTCAAGTTAAAATCAGGGCCCAGCCTCAGTCAGCTGACTTCCTAATCCCTTTGTACTTTCCCCACTGCATTTTAACAGCACCACCCTCCACCTCACACTTCCCTTGTCACCTGCAACTCCCTCCCTGTACAGCTAAGCTGTCGTTCTTCTCTCTTTTCTCCTTTTAATAATCTGACCAGCCCCATTTGTCCCACGCACACTTGACTGTGGCACCCTTCATCTCCTGCTCTGACTGTTGCAATCACCTCCCTTGCCTCCCAGCAGCCTGCATCATCCTCACCTGTCTCTGTCCCAGTCCTTCCATGCCACCACAGCCAAAATGGCCTCCCATGCCCATCAGTCAGTGTCACCTGATCTAGTGGATCTTACTTACCCACCATGTTCTTGTACCTTTGCAATCCCAAACAACCCTGGCCTGGCCTATGTCTATTGTGCTCCCTTCAACAGTACCAGCCTCACTCTCTTCTTTGTTCCCTTCTCCTGCCTAGTACTTTGTGCCTGGAGTAGCTGCCTGCTCCTGGGGCACCAGGCCCTCTGCCCTGCCAGCCAAACCCTTCACTCACCAGAAGAGTGCGGAAAGAAGCAAAGCTAACTGCCTTCTCCGGGGTTCCTGGCTCCACACTCTACGGGGGAAGGACTCCTGCTGTGGGTCTTATACAACACCAGGCACAATAAGGGTGCTTAAATAATAGCATGGAGGATGGTCCATCTTGGGCTGGCATCCCACAGCTGCTCCAGACTCAGCTCCTGTGCTTTCGCTCAGTTCTTAGCACCCCTTCTCCCAACTCTGTGGGCCAGTCCCATGGCTTCTGCACTTCCCAAAGAGCCATTACAATGGCAGGATCTCCTAGTCCTGGGCAACTCCTCTAAACAGGGTGAAGAGGCGCTTCTGGGATGTGAGGTTAGCAGAAGGATTCCACTTTGTATGGACTAGTATCCCTAGCTTATACTAGTTTATCTACAATATATTTTCACTAGTGTTTCCATAATGCCAGCCTGCCTAGGGGCAATAGCTACATGGGGATTGTTGTTAAACATGAAGCATTAATGCTGTGTTGCCTTCCTTTGAGCAATACTCCCAGCAGTTACTGGGTCAATGACCTGCTGCCGCTTCCCCTCCCCCCACAAACAAGCTGCGACTGGCATTATTTTCAGTATTTGTGACCTTTATGCTGCTTCCCTTTCAGCGAATGGTGTACCTAACAGGAGCTTCAGACATAAGAGCACAGCTGACAAAGAAAAGCTGCCTAGCTTTACACAGCGCTAACCTCCCTTGGAAAAACAGACTCCCTTCTACTGGGGAAAACCAATTGCTGGACTGGTCTTATGGCTCCAGTTCATTATCAGCACTGGGTCCCACTTCCATAAGTAAGCAAAGGTCTTTTACTGTGAATGGTGTCAAGTATCAGAGGGGTAGCCGTGTTAGTCTGAATCTGCAAAAGTGACGAGGAGTCCTGTGGCACCTTATAGACTAACTGAAGTGTAGGAGCATAAGCTTTCGTGGGCAAAGACCCACTTCGTCAGATGCATGTGACATGCATCTGATGAAGTGGGTCTTTGCCCACGAAAGCTTATGCTCCTACACTTCAGTTAGTCTATAAGGTGCCACAGGACTCCTCGTCGCTTTTGCAGATTCAGACTAACACGGCTACCCCTCTGATACTTCGTCCAATCAGTGTGGACTTTATTTCAAAATAGCAAATCACTATTTCATTTGGCTTTTTGTGTGTAGATGCTCTATTTCAAAATAAGCTTTTCCAGAAGATATATTCCAGAATAGCTTATTCCTAAAGAAGCTTGCAGTGGCAACATACCCTAACACTATTTTGAAATAACTATTTCAAAATAAGTATTATTCCCCAAGGAAAACAGGAATACAGATTTCAAAATAACCAGCCTGTTTTTTTTTTAAATAATAGGCTTGGTAGCGTGGACACTCTACTTATTATTTTGAAACTAGCCAATTAGTGTGAATGGGAATCCAAACTTCAGAGCGAACCTTCTGTCACCATCTACCTACCTACTTGTCGAGCTCAGCCCCTAGATAATCACTCTGCACTTCCAACTGGACACTGTAATCTTCACTTCCTGTCCTGAATTGTGATGTTGCTGTACACCAGTGGTGGGCAACCGGCAGCCCGGGATATGCAGCCCATTGGGGTTCTATGGGTGGCCTGTGAGACATTTAATTTACTGTTGCCCACACGCCGGGTTGCCAGATTCCGCTGGTTTCCTGCCATGTCGTTTTTTTCCTACTGGTATTACTGAAGTGACAGGCACGTAAAGCAAGAGCACATGAAATTGTGTGTGTGCTGAATGCACCCAAAGCTGTGTGCAGAGGGAGCGCATGGCTCTCACAGACAACTGGCACAAATGCTAGGTAGGCCAGCACAGTTAGAAAACAACCTTATGTTGTGAGACAGTTGTGGTTACAACAATCCCGTGGCCCACTGAGATGACAGAGGGCCAATCATGCAGTCCTCTCACTAGCCTTGGTTGCCCATCACTGTTTTTCACTGTTGAACAGCTGATATGTCACATCCTGTAATTGGCTATTTCTGAGGTGAACTAAGTGATGTTCTTATAAGAGTCTTTGGGATTATTCTTACAGGAGCTCCTATTAATGAGCTAAAAGTTGCTGACTACAAAGAAGTAAAAAAAAGGGGGGGGTCAGATTCCTTCCCCCCTCTCTCCCCCAAAAGTCACAAAACTGCTTGGCCTCAAACTGAGGAGAAGACTGCAAAACAGAAAACAGAAATCTGAACGTGCAAACTGAACTGGCCGACAGGAGGCATGCAAGGAGATGTTCTCATGTCTGGTCTGCAGCTACAAGGGATATTAGTCTAGGAAATTCCTGATTTTACATTTTAACAGGCTTTGGCTACAGTTTCAGAGGCTACCTGCAAAAATTGTAGTAGAGTGCATTTCTTTGTGTGCCCAAAACTGTCAGCAGTAAAGATCATTCTTGAAAAATAAAAACCAAGAAAATGAGCGTTTGCTACACCAAGTTGGCATCACAGTAAACTTGTTACATAGAAATGCCCTCTTCTGTTGCACTAACATATATTTAAAAACGTAGTCCTTTAAATCCTGCCGAACTGACCGTGGTAAAAGTTTTCAGAAAGTAACATAAGTGACTTCAGTCTAAGTCCCATGTTCCAAGGTTTCCCATTGATTCAGTTAAACCTAGGAGCTGAAGTGCATCAACCACTTATAAAAATGGGCCTTTCAGAAATTTTACTCCTGGCCAATAAGTCACTGGATCACCACAGTCTCAGGTGAAAAAGGGCCATAAACAATCCAATCCTTCCCTCTGCAAGGATAGGACAGACAGAGTCCCTTGCAAGAAGGTGTTTCACTAGGCTTTGCGAACAAAAAGTAATTGGTTTGTGTTATTTCCTCTGACCTTGCCCATACTGGGCACTGTTCAGTATCTACTAGACAGTTCTGTAACTACACTGTACTGGAGTTTACACAGAACAACGTAGGGTTGCTGTAAACGCTCCTGCTAACTGGCATACACTGAACAACTGTTGTGGTCGTCAAAACATGGCATAGCCCTTTCCACATCTGAGTCCCAGCGGATAAAACTCCTACAAGGTAAAGGGCTCATCTAAGCAGGGCCAATGCTTCAGTTTCCCCTAGGTCCCTGAACTGCTTGTACAATCACTGCTGTTTTCCCACCACAGCTACCTCTGGAGTTATAGGTTTCATCAGCAAAACAAATCAAAACATCACTATCCCCTGAATGGGGGGAAGGGAGAGGCAGACTCAAGACCTCAAAACTCTGGAGGGCTAGGAGCAGCTACAAATCCAGTGGTCAGCCCATTCCTAGATCTACTGTGCGGAGCACTAACCTCATGGGCTTTAGGTCCATGAATGTCTCTATCCACGAGCGGTCTCCAGATGCTGGCACTTATCTAACTGAACAGAATAAAATAAGAACCTGGAATTCCCTGTGTCTTTTCGTTGGTTTTAAATCTGACCTGCATGAGGATTATGATGAAGTCTGAGGCTAAATCAGGGCTAAGGTGCAAATTCACAACCAATGGAATCAAATGCTCACAAGCTCTCGCCAGGTCCCAGCTCAGAACCAGAAACAAGGCCTATCCTAGAGCTGAACCTAACCTGGAACCGTAAAGGTGGGTTCAGACTGGGAGATCTTAATCTAACCCATAGGCAGGGTTCTGGTGGCTGGTTTCAAATAGAGTAATAAAATAAAAAAAACACATCAGATTTAGTCTTTCCCAATCCAAATAGTTGCTCTCCCCTGTACTAGCCTATACGACAAAGTTAGGGTCAGATCATCCCCCTCTCTTCTCCAAGTCTAACAGCCTTCTATCAAGGAATTCTCTTTAAAATAAAAAGTTTGCTTTCAAAGGAGTGCTTCTC